ACTTTTTATGGTGGCAACTGGGACCACAGAACAGTCGAATGACAAAGGGTTAAATAGTAGAAATGTCCACATAATATAACGTTAAGGATTTGGTGTAACTGGTTAAAAATCAATTTATATTTCCTTATAAATTTTTCCTATAAATATTCTCGGATGCTTAATTGGCGTATAAATATCATGTTATAAACAATACGGTTAAATTTGTTGAAGCTTGTTTTTTTAGCGGTAGATTGAAGTATTAAAAAGTTATTTTCTCAATAAAGCTGGTCTGTGACATTCCTTGTATTTTCTCCTAACCCTTCATAGTCAATGACAACTACATTTCTTATTTAAAGAATACTTACTTTAATAATTTCACAAATAATTTGTTTATAAGTTTCTATTTCCACGAAGATTTTCTGCATTTCTAAGAGTCGTTGTGAAATGTATTGTATATTGTTACTTTCTATTAACTGTAGACAGCAAGAGAAAATAGATACCTGAAGTTTTTTCAACATTCTTTGTTTACTCATTCCTTAAGATTTTTCAATTTTCAACATGTAATTGTAAATAACTACTATATTTCTAATTTAAATGAAACTTATTTCAAAAGCTTCACAAATAATTAATTATTTATAGAAAGAAGAGTAAGAATAAAGATGATTAATTTTTATTCGGGACGCAGTACAAAAGAAATGATAAATAGCTGCTGGTATTTCTTTATTTTACTTATTTTTAACGATCGTTATCAAATGGATGTAATTACATGCTTTTTATAAACATTAATTAGTAACTTCGAATATACCGAGGTTTTTAGTCAATACCAAGAAGTTTAAGTTATTTACAAATGAAAATAATTATTTAAGTTAAAATTAGTTTGAATAATGCTCATCTGACAAATGAGGTGAGCATAATGAATAATGTCACGCAACTTGTTGCGTGATTATAGTCTTGTAATAAGTCTCTAGTTAATGTTCCGATGCAAATTTCAATCCATATTTTTAACCCAACGAAGTAGGGAACAGGTAAAGTCGACGGTTCGGTCGATCGTGACTCATAAAAGGAATTTACAGGCACGTATGAAAACATAATCACTGACATATTTAAGTTTCTATTGTGATTCTATTGTATTTTATCAACGAGGAATCCAAGCTTCATGAGAAGAACGACAGAAAGTTATAGAAAACGAAGGGAACTATTTTGAGTTATAGATACTGTAAAAATTATCGATTAGTAATAATGACATACGACGAAAAACGGCTATTTTGAATACATTTAATGTTTGTATTATGTTTAATTATAATTTTATTGTAGAACTGTTTAGACAACCATATGTAGTCGCTACTAACAAATATTGTTTACAAATATTATACATTCTTCAAAAACAGTAATAGAAAAAAACGACGATTATTATTACCCATGGAAAGGAATCATTTTCTAGTATGACAATGACAGACCACACTTCATTCAGGATACCATACTCGCCACACGTTACTCCTCTGAGTTTTATTTATGTATGTGGTTTTAAAAATTTAATTGATCGAAAATAATTAAAAAATTAAAAGGAAAAGATAATGCATATGGCCGAACTTTAAAAAAAAAGACAACAAAGTGTTTTGCAGTAGGTAGTGGAATAGACAAATTGTGGGAAGTAATAAACAAAGTGGTGCATTATTGGGTAGGTGTATGTTTTATAGAAACGTAATTACGCTTGATGTGCTAAAGAAACGTGAACGAATTCATTATTCAACCTAATATGTAGCTTCATTTGTCAAATTGAAAACTAAGCAAAAGTTTATGCTTTTTCTTTATTTTAGTAAGTCACTTCATACTCGCGTAACACTATAAATGTATTAAATCAACAGTCCAGTGACGAGAGAGTGAGCGGAGATGAATGTTCCATGAAATGATAGGATTGACATTAGAAGGGGGTCGACAAAACGCAGTTATTAGGAGGGAATACTGTAATTCGCTACATTTGATCAAATTCACTGTCTATTATTCAGGGAATCAAAAGGCAGTGCTACTTGAATGGCATTCATTTTCGTTTTCCAACATTGTCCATTTTGAAAAAACGCAATGCCAGGAACATATTTCGAATATAAGGTGTCTTTCTACTTTGGCAATTCTAAGAACCGATTTTTTTGTGTTATATTTTCTGAACGTATTTTCATTTTATTCCATTTTTGTATTTTCAACATTTTGTGTGCTGTTGATCTATGAATTATATAAAAGTAACACGTGAAGTTCCGTCATGTAAGACAGCATGTTTTAAATTTCAGCATATAGTTGGAATATATCATTTTTAAATATATTTTATACTTTAATAATAATGAATAGTACAGGATGGCTTAAATTTAGAAATGACTATATTTTTCGGTGTATTTCAAAATTCGGTTGAATCAATCGATCTCGTTCTTCGAAATTATCAACGAAAATACTTTTCCTGACGACATTAACCGAAAAAAAATGTTAAAAAATTTAAAAACGAATATTTTCTTATCACAAGAATGTCTAAAGTTTATATAAAATTGTATGTAACGAATATTCATCGTGCAGGTCACGACAAGAGTTTAAAGGTTGGCGTTAAGTGACATAGATTGAGCACGGCCTTCTTTCAATCCGTCTGTATGAGTTATAAGTATGATCGTTACTGGTTATATGATAGTTCTACGTATTCTCTCTGGTTTCAACTGTCAGATGCGTTTTAGCAGTATGGGCTAAAAATGGAGAGGTTGATGATTCAAACGGAAATTTTCTAGAGTTACTATCAGTTATCCTACGAACTAATACTAAGGGATACATGATAGATACAGCGAGGCAAACATTATGAATTCGGGTAAACAGACGATTATTCAACAATGGAATTACACTGTTTTATTATTTATTTCACTTAAGGATGGAACAGGTCACAACAACAATGACGGCGCGTTTCATTACGTGATGGACCTCTCGTTGGATTATTTCATGCCAGACACAAGCGTACCTATGTAACTACATACTTGCAATAAGCCCAAGCATGAATATGGTCTCCTCTATTCTTTTAAACAAAAGGCCGTACTAAATTCCTGTATCACAAAATGACGAAACATTCCACTGAATTTCTTTCCTTTATTAATTAATAGCACAAGATTCAAGTTAAGTTTGTTAAAAATCAATTCTGAGCGAGACTAAAGACATTATCTTTAATGACGAATGCATTAATGCCATGGTACGTTCTCCCAAAGTAATGTGTTTCTATTGTGGCATACTTCATCCTTAATTGAAACGAATAATAGAACAAATATTGCGTGACTCGTGCCCCAGTGTGCACACAGCTTAATTCGAACTCCTCTGTTGTCTCCCTTTCGCCAGAAGTGCGTCCCCTTTTTTCAAGCCTCCTTTTTGGATTCTGCGTTTTGGATACTGTTGTTCCTTCTCTTTATATCCGCTGCTTCTACCCCCTCCCTCGCACGACCCTTCCACTTCCACTTGATTCTCTTAATTTGTCCCTTCGTGAATACGAAGACTCGTTCTTTCGAGTCGACGCTAACTTCCGCCACGGAGCCTCCATGTCGTCTTCCGTTTCTGCCCGAGCGGATTAACCGCGTTTTTAGGTGACGCAATCCGACTCCCTGGACTTTTGGAATACGCCGGTTCGATGTCCTCGTTTTGTTTACCGTATCGATTTCCTGGACTTTCGGTTGTTTTATTTCCTGCCGTTTCGATTCTGTTCTAGCCGCTCCTTGTTTTAAACTTAATCTTTTGTTTCTTAATGCATTGAACTTATCCTTCTTTGAAGTTATGAAAAATCATCGTGGAATTTTCTGCCTGAACACTCAAGATTCTAGATTGGAATTACAATGGATAGAAATAAGTTTGAAAAACTTCGCGTTCTTGTTGCTTTTTAATCGATAAAGTAACTCGAGGTAGAATATGTTTTAATCCGTGGTCGGTATTATCCGTCTGAATTACCGACGGATCTGATATCCGCTTGAGTCGGTATAGTGGTTTTTTGGTAAGCTCGATTGGTCTTATTTTCTCGACAAGCTTTTTTATCAACAGAGAGTTATTAATTCTAGACCACAGACCAGGTATGTATATCCCGTCTGTGTCTAGACTCAGGGATTTCAAAGCTGTCACAGACGAGGTATAGGGGTAGACATTTCATCCAATGTATTTTTACGGCTCACTTTTCTGGGGCGACGTCGCTCCATTTCCATTTTATATAGTGACACTACCCACCGTAGATTCACCGTTCATATAACGCAGAGGTCGCTAATGTCACAAGCTGTTTAAGGTGTCGGAACTACAGTTTAAGTGGGCCACCAATTTCTATATAACATATGTACACTGTACGTCGTCTGTGCTACTGTGTATGCTGTGCCGTAAATAGACGCACACATTCAAGACCGATGACTCAGCACATGAGTCATGCAATATCGCACCCATGGTAACAGATGACGCAGCATGTGGGTCATGTATAGACACGAATAGGTATTCGTAGTCAGTTCTCAGACAGCAGTCAGGAAAGTCAAACGGTTAGGGTTAGCAGGTCGAATTGTAGTATGAGGTGTGTATAAATTAGAATTGCCATTGGTTTTAAGATCATGGCAGAAATGGATAATCCACAGCCAACCTCGTCAGCATACCACAGTAGAAATAGTGATGAAGAATGTGAAAGTATTATATTAGAAATGAATCGACAAAAAAAACAAAGAATATATGATAGTGAAAAATGTGTGCCAATATATGATAGTGATGATAGTGAAATGAATTGTCAAGATAGTATAAATACAAGTTATCTGGAAACCGATGATACGCATGACGAAACAACATCTGAAGAAATAGACAGTGACAGTGAGACCAGTATTGAGTCAGAGAACGAAGACGTAAATGAATTTACCGATACCGATGAGGAATGGGCGTGTAATGGCAATTTTCAGAAAATTGCTTTTGAAGGAAGCGCTGGTTTGAAATGTTCATTCAATGGGCCAGATCCTTACCATTTCTTCGAACTGCTGTTCGATGCGAACTTTTTTTCGAGTATAGTTACAGAAACAAATAAATATGGAGAGAGTACGAAAGGTGATCAATGGAAAGACTTAACAGTGGAAGAAATAAAAATATTTCTTGGACTACTCTTACACACGGGCACAATTAAGTGTCCTCAATTACAAAATTATTGGAGTACTCAGCGGCTGTTTAACTTTACTTGTTTCTCACAAAATATGAGCAGGAACCGGTTTCAAGAAGTTTTACGTGGTTTGCGTTTCTCTTCGAATTACACGAATAATGATCGCTTGAACGAAATACAGCCGATTGTGGATTACTTCAATGACAAAATGGAACAAGTATACTATCCACACAAAGAACTTTCAATAGATGAGAAACTGGTCCCTCGGAGAGGCAGTGTAGTGTTTCGACAATATATTATTGATATTATTGGAAAGAGACATAAATATGATGTCAAGTTACATGTTTTAACTGAGAGTTCGGGAATATCTCTTCGAATTGAAGGAGACAAAGAGAGTGGTGGTGATATTAGCGTGAAAGGGCAGGCAACGGAAGTAGTTTTACGTTTATTGAAAGATTTTCTACAAAAAGGACATTCCGTTTATATGGATAATTTCTATAATAGTTTCGAATTAACGAAAAAACTACTTGATGCCAAAACTTATTGCACAGGTACTTTACGAAAGTTAAGAAAAGGAAATAATTTAAATGTCGTAACGGGAAAGCTTGCAAAAGGTGAAATTATATCTCGCCATAAAAATAACATTATGATGGGGAAATTTCGAGAGAAAAGAGAAGTTCTGTTTATCTCGAGTGAATTTAATGCAGATTTTATAGAATTAGAAAATAAAAGGCAAGAGAGATATAAAACGCTTCTAGCATTGCAGAAATATAATGAATTTATGATTGGTATCGATAGGAAAAACCAGATGTTATCTCAGTATACCTGCGTGAGAAGAACATTTAAATGGCATGTTAAATTATGGATAAACATCGTAGAAACTTTATTGTTAAATTCTTTTTTCTTATACACGAAATACTCACCTTCTACGAAGAAGATAAATTTCTTAGATTTTCGTTTGAACATTATCAATGTTTTGTTATTTAAAAACAATAAGGAAAATGTACCACCTCTTACTTTATTACAACATGAACATCTACCTGAAATGTTATCGAGGGACGAGAAAAATAGAATAAGACGAAAAAGGTGCAGACAATGTTTTGCTAATGGATCACGAAAGAATACTAATTACTTCTGCAGTGGCTGTGAGGACAATCCAGGTTTATGTTTAGGGGAATGTTTCAAGGAGTACCACAAAAATCTATTATGATAGTCATTATATGAAGATAGTTTCCTTTGTAATTTAACATTCTTTATTATATGCACAAATATATCTGTATATTTTAGTAAAATTGACATTCTGTTGTAGTTTTTGCACGCTGTTCTTACTTTCATCAAAATAAGAATAATAATGTTTATATTTACTACACAATTTCATAATAATCTTCATATTTTTTAAATAAATGTCGCTATTAATATTAATGCGTTTATTTTTTTGAAATATTCACTAAAATGTGATTTTACTCACATGATCCACAAGTTGAGACATCGATTATCTGGTAGGACCTGGAAATTGTCTTCAATAGTCGCTGACTTACGGTTTGTGTCGTGTTGAAGTTAAAACAAAAATGATCTCGAAACATATTTTTTTCACTCACCTCACTTATAACTGCAAAAACATTTTCAGTTTCTGGGAAAAGTTTTATAATAATGCCGTCGTCGAGTGCAGTTTATTTTTGAATGAAAAGCAATTTATTATTACATAGTAGACTATATATGTATTTTACACATTTATAGCATATTTTGATGCGGAATGCAGTAAAATGGAAATTTTAAGAACAGACCTAACATGCAATGTATGTACATAATATTATGTACATATGTGTGACGTTTGAAGCTGTGTAGGTGGCTACACGTTACAACTGAAAATGCCTCTGATTTCGAGGATCGATATGTGGATTGTGCGATCGTTTCGCTGGTAACCGAGAGTATTTTTAAAGAGAGTCTGAGATATGACATGATAGGGAATAGATGTGACATATTTGACGTGTACATATTTGTGAATAATTAATGTTGTACAGTTGTACAGTTGTAAGTAAATATTGTGTTGTATTACGTTTAATAATTTAATAACATTATGTCGTGGGGTGGAACACCACGGCGTAACAATATGTATGTAATTTTGTGTCACATGCTTTTCGGGTTCTAGAGCCCCCTAACCATATTAGTGTCAATACACAACGTTACCGATAAGGCATGAATTCTCAGTATTATTAGCATAAATTGAGTATTATATACCTCGTTCATACATATTAAGTGTATCGACAGTAGACATTCGTTTCCTGTGCTACGGTTATCTGTACGGAAGCCACGCCTCTTGCTCGCACGTATTATCAGCACGCCCAGGCCGGAATACATACGGTGTCGCGTTTAACACGTATATATCATCACAGAAAGCGAAATTATATAATACTGTTTTAATAATGTTTTTATTGGTGCAATGAATATTGGTGGAATGAATATTGGTAGCAATTTGATTGCTTCTTGTCTCGCGGATCACACGTAATTTTTACGCATTTTCACTAAAATTTAAACGCAAGTTTTCAAAGAATAGCGGGGGCCTTCGTCTGTATATTGTCGAATATTCGAGAACTCTTGTTTTTGATGCGACAGGCACACACGATCGTCAGACGAAATTCAACAGTTGCACGAGCAACAGCAATAAAGGACCACGTTTCAAGTGTATGTTGACTCGAAACCATTTTACTGCCATTTCTTCTTCCGTCATTCACATGTAATAACAACAGATTGGATCTGGCAGAGGAACATTGCAATCTTCATATTACACACATCTATCGTATGCCATCAGAAATAGAAATCTCGGTAAACTCACAAAACCTTTTGGAAACGTTTAAGATCGTACGGATGATTTACAAGTTACAGAAGATGAAATTGTTTGCGATGGATAAAGTATACTATTTTAGCAATCTAAATAATATTTAAGCCTACTTTTACTGAATTTATACAGAGATTATTATAAATACATTGAAAAATTCATGCAAATGATATTGTAAATTTGAGATTTCTTTACGATATTTTCAATAAAAAATAGTTAAATGCATATTGCATATGCGTTATTCCTCAATTCCAGCACTATCTCTACTCCTATTCCTATCTTCATTTTATCAAAAAAGTAATACAAAATAATAAATACTAGCAAATTAATACCACCGACTAGGTATAGAATAGACCTGTCATCCAATGCTTTTTTCTGTCCCACGTTCATAGGGCTACGTAGCCCTGTTACCATTTTAGTGTCAATACCCGACGTTACCGATAAAGCATGAATTCTGAGTATTATTAGCACAAATGAAGTGTTATATATTCCATTCATATTACGTGTATCTATATGATTTCATGAGAATAAAAATATCCGATGCTTCAGTTTAAGGTTAGGGGATAAATATAACAGTCATGAAACGTGAAACGGGAAAGTATATATTTTTTCACTTAACTACAAGACAATTTATTCTAAATGCATCGTTAATGGACATTTTACTAATGTTACTTTTTACATGTTCTTGTTTTATTCGTTTTTATACTTTGCTTTACATTTGTATATTTGTAACAGATAAATTCAGAATAGATGTAGTTTCATAAGTAGTTTATCAAATCTACCTTTTGGCCGTTGCGGGAATGCCTTACCGTAATGAGCCATCTCGTGGCCGCGGGATTCCGGGAATCGGGTGACGTCACGGCGTGCGAGCGAGAGCGGTAGAGCGAGCCGCGGTATCGGTGCTCTCCGTCGGTGTTGACGGGTGCCGAGGAATTTCGGTGGTCTATGGGAGGGAGGTGTGCGAGCGAGAGAGTACGGTAGAGCGTGCCGAGTATCGGTGCTCTCCGTCGATCCAACGCGCTAGTGAGTTGCGTCACCCAGTTTATTGACTTAGCCGTGTACGCCGTGTACCAAGGTCGTACCATCCCGTGCAGGTCTGTGCTTGCTTCCTCACTTTGTCGTGAACCGTCGCGGAGGGTGGTCGCGCGTCTCATACTCGTCCTTTCTCTTGTTACTAACCCATTGTTTGTTGCAGGCATTCGACAACCATCAATTTATTTACTGTGCATATTGTTGTGTCCCCTCTCTTGTTACTAATCCCTTATATGTTACAGATGTTCGAGAACCATTGGCTTCGATATTTATCTTCTTATGTACTGTGATTCATTTAATGTGATTTATTTACTGTGCATATTATTTATTTATTTACTGTGCATGTTACTAATCTATATACTGTGCATATTGTTGTGTCCCCTCTCTTGTTACTAATTCCTTGTATGTTACAGATGTTCGAGAACCATTGGCTTCGATATTTATTTTCTTATTTACTGTGATTTATTTACTGTGCATATTATGTATTCTATGTGTATTGTATAATGAAAAATATTTTTCCAAACAGTTATTCCATCGAAAGAAGACATCGATCAACGTCTACATCTTCAAAGCGTGCGTCTACCACTGCGTTAAGTTACTGTAAGTTAAACTTAAATCATAATTCGATATTCATTGTTATATTCATATTCATCATCACATCGTTTATTATTAATTTTAGTCTATCTATTAATAGACTTAAATTGTGATCAGCCATTGTGCATACCAAGTTATTATTAATTCATTTTGCTCGTTGATTTCTCTACACAGACTTGGGGTATGGGCAGTGGGTCTGTACCTATTATGGTACGGGCAGTGGGCCTGTGCACTAAGACTGTTTGCCGATCCCTCTGGTTTCTATTGAGAAGCCAGATATCGGACGTGTTTAGTCTTTGCCTGGTAAGTAGGATTTGGAGTAAAGGCTCGTGCGCGCCTGGGTACAACGTGCCCGCCTACGGAGTAGTCGGGAGTCTGCTCCGTAAAAGGACTCTGTTTTACAGGGGATCTCGCTTGCACTACCATACTTGGTCATGACCTGTGCTCGGGTCTGGTACGTAGGTGACCAGCCCAAAGGGCCTGGAAAGTGAGAGATGGATTCGGGTTTGCGAGGTTGCGCCCGTCTTTCCTATTTTCTTAAACCAGGTTCTGGCGACAACACTTTCATCGCGATACTTGTTCATACTGTAGTTTAACGTGGTTCATCGTAGAATTAATTTTTGGCTTGGTATATTAGGTGCGTAAACGAAATGATCGATGGAACTTTTTCCATTCCGTCTATCTCTTTCGTTTGAGTATTAGCGACTACATTGCGTTAAATTTGTTATTTCGTATTACTAGCATTAATTCGTATTAATTAGAATATTAAGATAATATTAGTTCTAAGCTGAAGAACGAAGACAACCGACGAGGGAACTTAGTTTTTTATAGGTTTAGGCTCAAGAAAGAAGTCATCCGCCGAGGGATTTTAGTACCGATAGTATTACATAGTTAAGATTTAAGTTATTTATAAGGTTTATTGTGAAAGGTGGGAAGATGTAGAACTTGTGATTCCATCTACCTGCCTTGGGCCTCCACTCGCAGCAACCTCCTCGTGGTGAGGCCTGGGCAATCTGTATTATCATCGGTAAAGTACTGTAAACTGATGACAATATCGAGCTAATGGCTGCGAACTTCGAATCTATCTCATAAAACCACGTTCTATATTATATCGAACTAGGCTTATTTTAGAAATCGATGTGATTTTCCGACGTACCGAACACTCATGATCTGACAACATTGTACTTTAGACTTGACAACACTGTAGAAGTTATTAAATTTTTGGCTTGGTATATTAGGTGCGTAAACGAAATGATCGATGGAACTTTTTCCATTCCGTCTATCTCTTTCGTTTGAGTATTAGCGACTACATTGCGTTAAATTTGTTATTTCGTATTACTAGCATTAATTCGTATTAATTAGAATATTAAGATAATATTAGTTCTAAGCTGAAGAACGAAGACAACCGACGAGGGAACTTAGTTTTTTATAGGTTTAGGCTCAAGAAAGAAGTCATCCGCCGAGGGATTTTAGTATCGGTAGTATTATATAGTTAAGATTTAAGTAATTTATAAGGTTTATTGTGAAAGGTGGGTAGATGTGGAACTTGTGATTCCATCTACTTGCCTTGGGCCTCCACTCGCAGCAACCTCCTCGTGGTGAGGCCTGGGCAATCTGTATTATCATCGGTAAAGTACTGTAAACTGATGACAATATCGAGCTAATGGCTGCGAACTTCGAATCTATCTCATAAAACCACGTTCTATATTATATCGAACTAGGCTTATTTTAGAAATCGATGTGATTTT